AACTGCCAATTTGTACTCCTTAATCTCTTCACCTTTTCCACCCAAATCCCCTTTCCATCTGGCAACCATCAGTTTGTTCTCTATAATTTGTTGCTGTTTTGTTTGTTCATTTAGCTTTTTAGATTCCACAAATAAGTGAAATCATGTGGTATTTGTCTTCTTGTCTGACTTATCTGAAAAGGAAACCCTTGTACACTGTTGGTGGGATTGTAAACTGATGCAGCCACTGCGAAAAACAGTATGAAGTTTCCTCAAAAAAATAAAAATAGAACTACTATATAACCCAGCAATTTCACTTCTGGGCATCTATCTGAAGAAATCCAAAACACTAATTCAAAAAGATAGATGCACCCCCACTTCACTGCAGCATTATTTACAATAGCCAAGATATGGAAGCAACTTCAGTTTTACCTTGTCTTTTGATTCACGACTGCTAACTTGGTTTTGACCAGGCCTCCTTATTCTTTCTATTCACAGGGCTTCATTTTCGCCATGCAATCTTAAATGTTGCCCAGCTATGCCCAGAATCAAGTCATCTACTCAGGCTTTCAATCTTGCCCTGAGTGCTGACAATATTTCTCCTTTATGCTGTGTCCAAGACCCACAGGAAGTTCTACAAAGCTGAATTAGAGCACATGGACCAGTCACCCTAAATCTAGATTTCTGGGCCTAGCTAGCATCAGAGCTCACTGCAATTTCATCCTGCCTTTCTAATCTCATCTTCCTTAATCAATCTCACAGAACCTTCTTTTCTGGCAGGCTCAGCTAGTTTCTGCTGCCTGAACTTGCCTAGCTCATTCCCGGCTCAGTGCCTCTGCTCTCGGGCCATACTCCCTCCTCAGCCAACGCTGTCCCCTCCCCTCCTACCTGGTGCCCATTTCCAATTATAAGCGCCCTCTTCCAAGTCCAACTAAAGTTCTCTCTCCCTAGAGAAGCCTTCCCTAATCACCCAGCTTCCAGAGCTCTTTCACTCCTCTGAATTCCTATGTTTCCTTATCACTCCCCTGGCGATCTGCTATAGGTGTTTACCTTTTAATCTTATCTATTCACATGACACTCATTTCCTCATGAGCATGAACCATAAAGCACGCTTGAAAAAGCTGAAAGCTACAATACTAGACAACACAAGAGAAAGTTTTTAGGAAATAAAATTCTCTCGACAAGACCAATCAATCTTTTTTCATGTTTCTTTCTGGCCCTTACCCATTCTTGTTTACATTTTTATGTAGTAATAATCTTAGAGTAGATTCAATGACTAGACTGAAGAGATTCAAAACAGTTACACATCCCGTTTTACATTCTGCTTTTACTTCTAACATAGAAAACAGCCTTCCTTGTTAAATGGTTTTGATTTTCATCATTTTTAATATCTATATAATAGTCTTTCCACTGAGATACTGGACAGCGATTTACTTAAGCACTGACTCTATTAGACATCACATTCTTCTCTTTTTGTGTCTTTCACTGCATCAGGTACTGTAAAATGCAAAGTAGACCCTTTGAGAAATACCTGTTGACAAATAAATTTATCGTCCATGCTTCCTAACACCTGCAATAACCCATTTTACTGCTTTTCTCTCTAGCTAAACTTCTAGTGTAATTTCTGGTTTTACTAACCTTAGGCTAGATAGATAGAGCAAAGGTGTTTTCCCAACACTTTTTATATAGATTTATTGATTTTGGTACTTGATCTTCTACATATTTAAATATAGGAAGCCCCTTGAAGAAGGGCGCTAAGATCCTATAATAACTGATATAAACTAGAGATATCTGGCAGGCACTCAATAAATATTAAATATTTTTTAAACCACCTAAAGTTATAAAAGATCAAATTTCTGAACAGGAGAGTATCGCCGATCTAGCTAATACCATCAATTATGCTTATAAAACTTTTAGCTCATGTAATAATTAGAATGATTAATAATGTATAAATGGGTGTTCTTTATAGTATATTGAAGAACACAACCAGAGTCACCTGGTGAGCTGTACAAGTCTGAAAGATAACATGAAAGACAAACAATATTTGCAAATAGAACTTCAAGAGCTCGTGATCAAACAAGTTTACCCTTTATCTTTAGCTTAAGTTCATATTTCAGATGAACAAAAGCAAAATTAAAACTATGTAAGATTACATATGCATGTGAGCACAAAGTGGAAAGGAAATAAAGAGTATGAATTGTCAAGATGGAAGAATTCAGAGACTTTTCCATTCTTAGTTTTTGTTTGTTTTGTTAGTATGTTAAAATGTATAACAAGAAAAATATTTCTGACAAAAGCATATTCATTAGCCATTACATCTCTTGCTATTATTGCAAGAGATTAGGGCCTAATGCTTAATGTTCAAATGACTAAGTTTCCTAAACCCCCAAAGAATTTAGCAAAAAAGATTGACTCTTACTTCAATGATAAATGTGAAATAATAAACCAACTACCTTAACACTTAAGCACAGTCAGATACTGAATCACATGAAGAACTTAATGGCATACTAGAAGCTTCTTGCAAATTTTAGATTTTCCTCAAAGAGTAGCTAATGTGAGTCCAAATATCAGAGTCTGTACAATAAAACCACATCATCCCAGTAACCCATCCTCGTCTCATCCTTATTTGTGAAGAGTGATTTCTGAAGTTGATTCCAGCACTAATATGCTGCAAGAAACAATTATGACTAAAAGTTTACTATCCAATCATAAACTATAATCTAATACACTAACTTTCCCAAAAATAATAATTGGTCAAAGTGATATTATTTTCAAAATTACTGGAAAGGAATATGTTTTAACCTTTTTAAACAAACTCTAGATAGAAGTTTAAATATTGCTGGCTTTAGATTTTCACCCCATTGTATTCCATAACCTCTAGATTTACATAAATGACTACTTCATGACAAAAATAGAAATAGAACCAATTTTATTATCTGTTGTAATCCCTGAAAAATCTCATGTGCATTCAGGAATTATAAGGCTAGGTAAGAGATGGCATGAAAGGAATGGAGCAATTCACCACAAATAATGCACTTCTATTTATAGGGATAATGAATCTGTGTGTAAACCGTAATTTTAAAATGGGTTCAGCTAAAGAAACAGCTAACATCTATTCCATAGCTAAAATTATTATTCTATGCATCCCTCAAAACGCAGATACTGACAATTATTACAATCTAATTAATGACAATTTATAAAAAGGAGAGTACTTTCCCTCAAAAATTGAAACCCATGGGGGTAGGAGAAGAGGGTAGGGTTCTGAAATAGGTCTTTTGTGGTGGTTGGTTAGCTAGCTGCCTCTTTTTAGCACTGACATTTCCAAGTTAAAAAGAAATTTTAAGAATGTGCTAAAATCATCCTTTCAGAATCAAATCCAAGGTCAGTTGTGTTTCATGTGGCTTGTTTTTTTAGGTGTTTCCTAATCACTGTGATGGTGATTAAGCTTAAGGTGAATATAAATACAGATGTCTGAACACTGAAGAACAGAAGCTTTTGAACACTTTCAAAGTTCCTCTAAGTTCTTTCATTTTGTCAGAGCATGGAACTAGTGAGGCAGACAGAACTAGTTTAACTTCTCAGGAAAAACTCTGTGTCACCTGATAGCCTTAAGCTGACCTAGCAGGGGCAGAAGGAATCATCAACACCAACAGAAGATATAACTCCCAAGAGAACAGATAAACCAACTCCCAAAAGAAGGACAAAACAACGAAGCATGTATCAACTGGTTGATCTGTATATTTCACTATATGTAAAAGCCAGCAAAAAAATGGAAAATTGGAAAACAACTCATAACTTCTACAAAGACTTAAACAATACCTGATTATGGACAAAGAAGTGGCAAAATGACTTGCAACATGACTCTGGTACTTAAAAATGATTTTGATTAGTTAAGTCTTATTACTTGAAAAGTCATCTCCTAGGATTATAACAGTGACTCCCAATAATATAACCTTGTACAGAAAGTGTTTTCAAATATATTATCTCATCTAAAGTAACTTGCTCAGTCAAGCTGCTAGTTAAGCATTAAAGCCGAGACCCAGCCCACCTCTCCTTCGATCTCTACACTCCGTTTGACAGTCGAAAGAGGATTTAAAACGTACCCGGTTTATCTGCTTTCTCTACCCTCCCTGCAGAATAGAGAGAATGTCTGATAGATACAATTTCACAAGAATCTTGGCACTTAAACTATTTATTGTTGAGAGATGACGAATATGACTAAAAACAAAAACAAAACTTTAAGTCAAAAAAGCGAGGTAGGGGGACATCTCTTTCACCCAATTTCAAAGTATTTATAACTTTGTGGACGTCCAGATTAGAGGAATATAAAGTGAAAAAGCAAAGCGAGGAATTTCTGCACTTGAGTACTTTTTCAGGAAGAGCAAACCAAATTCCCTGCCATTTTTCCTGCCGCGGGCCACCAAAGGGCAGAGTGGGGCGACTGGGCCAGAGACTTGGGGCCTCGGGGTCCCTGGCTGTCCCGGCCAGGCCGGAGGGGTAAGGACCCAAGGGGCGGCGGCCGCACTGACAGCTGGAGAGGAGACAGTAGGGACGCTGCGAGGCACGGGCCAAGGGACATGAGCGGCAGAAGGAGGAATCGAGCCTGGGGCGAGGGACAGGGCGCCCCCCAGGAAAGGCAAGGGAAGAGAGAGGGCGAAAGGGCGGCGGGGCGGGCGCTCGGGCGGAAGGGGCAGCGGACCGGGACGTGGGGCCCGCGGCGCCCCGGGACGCGGTGCGGGAGAGGGGAGGGGCGTCCTGCGCAGGCGGGCGGGTGCGGGGGACAAGGTTTCGGGGTGTGCCGGCAGCCCTCCTGCCCGAATACGGACTCCGGGGGCGGGGCGGCGGGGACCCACACGGCGGGCGCCGCGGGGAAAAGGG